TAACCACTTCTTTTCTCCCACATCCTTACTATCCTAGTCTAACCACTCTATCTGGCCTAACTACCATCAATGCCTCCTGCTCTCATTCCTGCTCTTTCTAACCTATTTTCCACATATCAAACAAGATGACCTTTTCTGAAATGCAAACTACTTCTTAGCACTCAGGTATTCAAACATTTCCAGCAGCCAATCATCTCAACTGAAGTAAAATCGAAACACCTTAACCTGACAAATTCTACTCAGTGAAGCAACTAAAGTATCTTTTGAGAACTTTACCATATTTACTCTCTGTTGACAAACTCTGGCCTTCCTACTGGTCCTTGAATATGTCCTTCTCATTCTGCTTTTGGACATTTGCTTTATTTATTTATTATTTGTGGATTGCAAACTCTAGAGTGACTTACTTCCACTTTTATTCAAGTATCTACCCTTTTAGAGAGATCTTCTCTGATTTTCCTAGAAAAAAATAAACTGCTCCTCCTTCCTTTCCATCTCTGAGCTTTTATCATTTCCTGATATTATTTTATACATGTTTCTTTATTTTCTACATCCCTCAATAAATTATAAGAACTAAAAGGCCAAGAAATCTATTTATCATTCTATAATGTGGAGAAGACTGTAATATATAGCAAATGTGCAATCATTATGTATAGACAAAATCAAATGAATGAGATGGTGTATTTCTATTACGTTATTATTTTTGTACCAGGGATCAAACTCAGGACCTTGCACTTGCCAGGCAGGTGCAGCACCGCTGAGCTACATCCCCGGCCCCTAGTGTAGTCCTACTACCAACATAGCTCAGTGATACTACCTTAATTCAAATCTTCGTTGTTCGTGATGAACTTCTCACTGATTTCACACTGTAGTAATTTTATATGGGCTCCCTGACTAAACTTCCTGAAGCATCAGCCATCATGTCAGTTCCACATTCAGAACCATCTATTCTAACTCCACAATTCACCTTTAGCCATAAATGATATTATATTTATGTTGACATCATACAAAACAAACCTGAAAACAAAAGTATTCAGAACTACATGAGAATTCATAATTACATTAGAATTACAGTAATCCAAAATGGGAGATTTTAATGACTTTCTCTGTTTCTGACAGATAAAAGAGTAATGGTTAATAATATTATTAAACATTTGAGCAACAATTTACAAGCTTGAACTAAAAGATGTGTATTCACATCTACAGAATATCCAATAATCTCAAACACAGACCCAATATATCTACAAAACTTGAACCCACAGTGGGACAATAAAGAAAAGTCTTAAAATTTAAGTTATTGTGTTCTGGAATTATATTGTAGTTTTATTAGAAGGCAATCATAAGGATAGCTAGAAAAACTGCCTTTGTGTGAAAATTATAAAAGTAAAGCAAAATAATCCAAGTGTCAAAGTAGAATTTGTAATTCAAGCAATACATCTCAGAACTGAATAGGAATGAAAATATCACATATTTAGGATACAAGTTTATAGATGAATGCATGAGCTTATGTATATTTATGAGAAAAGTAAAAATAACTAAAGATTAAGCGTTAAATGTTTCATGTTAAAAGTTAGAATAAGTAACAAATGAACAAATCTTAGGAAATTAGAGCAACAGAGAAAAGGGAAAATAAGCAGAAATCAATGAAATAAAATACATTGACAGAAACAACATATTGACATGTCAAGCCAGGGATTTAGCTCAGTGGTTTCGCAGCCTGCTGCACAAGCACAAGAACCCAAGTTCGATCCCCAGTACCAAAAAAAAACAACAAAAAAAGACATGTCAGTTTTCCTAAGTTCTAAGAATATAGGCAAATCCATGACATAATTAATATGGGGCAAAAATAAAAATTAAAGGAAGGTAGAATTAAAAATATAACAAGTATTAATAAAAAGAGAAAAGTGTACATATTGCACTAGTACACTATTTATGTACAAATTAGAAAATTTCAATGATGTGAATAAATTGCTAGAAAAGCATAACTGTATAAAGAAGTAAAATTCAGACTAATCCTGTATCTATTATAAACAACAGAATCTACTGTTGTTAATCTTTCTTCTGAGAATTTCAACCCTCATGGTTTTTCTGATAAATTCAAGAAAATATTTAAAGAAGTACAGAATTGCATTCTTACACAAGTTCTATCAAAGCATAAGAGAAAAGGTGAAATAATGTGTAATTTATTTTGTGAGGCAGTCACAAAATTGATACTAAATCTGATGAGAGTGTGAAGGGAAAATATCAATCCCAGACTTAGGGTATAAATTATATAAATTCTAAATATGAGACTGGGACACTGAATCTGGTAACATATCCGGTAACATATACAGACAAATAACCCATCATGGACAGTTGGGATTCATCACAACAGTGGATTTATCCAAGGTTGATTTTAACTTTAGCAAATCAATGAATTCAAATTAATTAGCAATGTATTAAAAAGATGTATGAATGGCATGTGATAAAACTTGGCTTTCTTTCTTGATGAAGCCTCTAACTAAATAGAAGCAGAAGTTACACAAGATGCTTGTGTTGCTCTGCTGCACATGACTTCTGACTACTTGATTTCAGGGCAGCATGTACTTTTTTTTTATCTTTCTCAACCATTCAGCTGGATATTTTTCTGCTTTCCCGCTGTAGGGCTTTCTCTAGAAAGCATGAAGGCCCTTAATCTTTCCATGAACAGCTCAGAAAAAAATTGAGCAGTTAATGCACAGGAGCAATACTCAAACAGTGGGCTTGAAAATTCTTAGGGAAATGTGTGGCTTTCACAAATAATTAAATGATATGAAATTAATATACAACCATTATATACTCAGAGGAAGGCTTAACTCTGAAAGAATGTAGAATAATTTCAAACATACCTCTGTTTGGTCAGCAACAAGATATATTTAATATCTTTTTTGTTAGACCCTGTGCTTAGTTCTGAAGAATGACTTGATGGTATGATTCCCACCCTCAAGGAATACAAAGTCATATGGAAGGTTCACCACTAGTATGTCAATTAAAATACATTATATGAAGCATTAACATAGAGATTGATTTAAAAGGCTATGAGAACAGAGAGAAAAGAGCATCTGATATTATCTACAGGAGTCAGGGATACTGCGTAAAGAAGACTCTGGGACAGCACTTTGCAGGCGAAGTACAGTGCACATTGCATGAGAAGATGAAATAGATATGCCAAGGGGGATGATCGAAAACCCAGAGGCTGAATGAACATCTGTAGAAAGAACCATTAGAAAGTGTTCTTTAATGCTAGAAGTTTTTATTAAACAGGATATATTGTGTTTTGATATCTCTGCATCCTAGAATTGAAAAAAAAAAGGCATTTAGGGGGAGAATCAGTGGTCAAAAGTACAAAGCCCTTAGGACACAAGAAATTGGGTGAGTTCTAGCACCTGAAAATAGACATGTAGCAGGGTATATAGAAAGATATGATTTCTAAGAAGTAGGCTTGACACAATGCTTTTTCTACTTCTGTATTGCTCTATTAATGCTTGGGATGTCAGTGTAAAATTCAAATGGAGCTACCTACTATAAAATTGATAGCTTGGGAATGGGTGTTTTTCCTTAAATTTATAGAATATTTCTAAGAAAATCCACCTTTCAAAGATAATTTTTTTTATTATTCATATACGTGATGTATGCCAGAGCAGATTAACTTCATTGAAGATGTAGAAATTACTATCAAAGGTCATAGTCTTCATCAGATTGAAATATAATTGGTTAATAAATGAACACTAAACTAACATTGATACATGTTCTGAGGAGCCAGGGAATATTGGCTTGGAAAAATTGTTCCCTTTTCTGCCTGCTTTTGGACTATTTGAATATTTTTTGTATCCTATTTTAAATCATCTATTTTGTTCTGGATTATGTATGTGTCTATCCATCCATTTTGATGATTACTTTGTGATAATATGTGTGTGATACATATGTGATATATGTTGTGTGAGATATGTGATATATATTCAATAATGTACTATTTGAAATAGAATGCAGAAACTTTATCTAGGATTCTTTATTCTCCCCATGTTGCCATTGTCTGAATATTACACCTGTATGTACTGTAACCTCTGTGAGATCATGCTTTATGTTTTGCTTTTACTCCTAAAACATAGTTTAAAAATTTCAAAAGGAAAAGAACTTATAGAATGAATTCTACTGTTTTTAAAAATAAAAGGGACCATGCCAATACATTCTCCTGCTTCAGATAATATAGACCTGAGACTTGTTATTTGATTCTGAAGACAGTAGAGCAAAATAGGGAGTTGTGAATTGCACTTAAACATTTTTTTCTTTTAGTATGAAAGAAAACAAATATATGCATGCTAATTTACATAGATTTCAAAACTGAGAAATCACTGCTGCCAGATAGGCCTGACTTTGGTCAAAGATGTTAAGTTCTTTATTAGTATAACACATTCTTTCAATGCCTAAATCTACTTTTTGAATACTCAAGATTGTTTCTGTTTTAACAGTTAGATCTTTGATCCATTTTGCTTTTAGTTTACAACATGGAGAGAGATATGGGTCTAGATTCTATCTTCTGCATATGGATAGCCAGTTTCCCCAGCACCATTTGTTAAAGAGGGTATTTTTCCTCCAGTTGATGTTTCTGGCCCCTTGGAAAAGAAAAAGAGAACTCAAGCTTGAATATTAGAAAACTAAAACAAAGTGAAACTGAAGAAAAACTTCTCCAAAATATTAAAGAATGAATTGGTAGTTCAAGTATAACATTTTCTTTCTGCAATGCAGGAAAATATTTTTATAACTTCTCTTATGCTAAGGTACGGAGAATGACTTTTTAAAGTGACAAATCTCATCAGACCATTAATAATGAGGTTACCCACCTCAAAGGATATTGTACTTTTCTATTGCTGGGCTAGAAAGGTTGGGGTGAACTAATGAAGTTAGATGCAGATTATGTGTTTTAAGCAGGCATAAGCATTTTAAGAGCACCAAACAAGCATGGCAGACAACTCACTATGGTTTGTAGAATCATTTTAGTGGTTTTTGAAAGATGACATGAATCTCTTCATGGAGTCTCCATTGCATCCGCAATGCACTAATTAATCTTCCTGTCTATATATCACCTTCCACCTGGTCACCTAATAACATTGCCACTCTCTTTTTATAGAAGATCTCCATCTGAGTATATTACTTCTCTTTCAGGAACATTATCTTCACCGTCAGATATTTTCTTCACCCTGTAATATTTTGAATAGGAATTTGTAAGTATATTTCCAAACCAAGAAACCTTTGGTTAAAAATCATCTAAAACATTATGAAATATCTGCTCTCTTTTCTCTCCTTTCTCGCTTTCTCTTAAGGTCTAACACACAGAAGCAAAAATGATTCCTGGATCCATCATAGATATTGCCAAGGAAAGCAAGAAATATAAAGCTGGCTATTTTTGAAGACTAAGAGTACAAATGACCTAACATTTTTAACTTCCTCTGTAACAGACTTAATTCATATCCCAAACTTCCTTTCTACTAGGATGACAGAAAGCACTTGTTCTGACATTTGGGTTGAAGCCACAGAGGCTAGCATACTGTTAAAGAACTTTGATCTGGATAACGGTGGCATCTAGTCCTTCTTGTCATCTACTAGTACTGTATTTCAAGAAGTTGATTCTCCTTGGCCCAAGGCTGTCAATGATCAAAAGAGAAAACTACTGACTTACTCCTTGTTTCCATTAACATGGTTTCTTTGCTCCCTGTTGAATACTTCTGTCACTCTTGCTTTTGCTGAAACACAGGGCTTGCCATGAGTGCCAGAGCTTTCTGCTTAGACCTGCCATGATCCATTCTGCTCTGGTGGTTTTCCAGGACTCTGTATCAGAAAAAAAGGATGTATTCTCTCTATATTGAAGTTTTCACCACCAATTCTTTGCACATAGCCAGCATGGGGAACAGAACATGTGGCTCTCCTTTCCCAGAGGCTTACCATGAGCATGAAACAGGGCAACTACACATGTATGGGGTTGGGGGTAGGTGCACAGAAGGAAAAAGGGTATAAAGAAATACTGAGGGAATTGCGATGAATAGCTCAGCATTGACTATCCCCATGCACACATTTTTCCCATTGTATTTTAGTTATTAAAGATGCATTGCAATCCTACTATGTACCAAAACTTTTCTACATACTGAGAATACAAACTTGAGCATAACAGATAAGGTTCTTTAACTTATGAATTTTGTGGCATAACTCATGGGATGAAAGCTAATCAACACTCAGTCTCAAAATTAATAATTGTAAACAGTTACTAAGCCATATACACCAGTACATATTTTGGCAATTGTGACAATTTATTCTTTTATGTTAAGTGAACCAGAAAAAAATGGTATTAATTTGAACAGATATATTCGTTTTGGCAGTAAAGTCTGCCAGAAGAGTTTCTTCTCTCATACATGCATGCAGACACATGCATGCACATATGCAAACACATACATAACTGGATTCAGAGAAATATAAATATAAATAGATCATCTAGTCATAAACAGAAGTGAAACATATTAAACACTGTAATTCTGAAAATTAACATGAAGATATTAAAAACTGAACAAAAAGCCACAAATCTGCTTTGAAAAATGGAGCTTTCCCATTTGTTATAATTTGATTCTCTTTTATGTACAAGTGTGGATGTAAGAGACTCCTGGAAACACACAAACACCTTAAATTAAGGGTACCACAGATATTCTGTAGGGACTGTTGGGTATCAGCATGCAATGACATTTTACAGCTTTCAAAATTTGTATGAAGCATATAATTGAATCAGAAATTTTGCAAGTCAACTACCTGATCAAGGCTGATTTGAAGTCTTGTTGGTTTCCTGCTGGGACAGGGCTACATCTCACCACAGAAAAACTTTAATCATATTGGGTTTATTTCTAGTAGGAACTATATTACCTTTCAGAATTTCAGTATGTAGGGCAAAGTATGTATTAGATACTTTTTTCTCTCTTTTTTTTTTTTGTACGGGGGATCAAACTCAGGACTTTGAGGTTGGGAGGCAGGTGAAGCACCACTGAGCTAAATCCCCAGCCAATAGATACATTTAAAGTATTGAGGGTAGAAGAATGAGTTTTTGACATTCTAACAATAGGAAAAGATAGAGGGTATGAATTTTTCTTTAAATAAATTCTAAAAACTCTTCACTCTCTCCACAATTACGGGTTTTTTTCTCTGTTATTCTACATGTGCATCTTAATGAGGATTATTGATTTACTTGCTAAATGAGCAATTAGAAAGTAAATGCAAAATAAAGAAAAGTATTTATCTGAAATTACTCTAATTCTTAGAATATCTATGGCTAGGATATTAGTATTCCTGATAGTTCAGTGGGAGAGTCAAATCAATTTGAACTTCCTGGAATCCCAAATTAATTATTTTCATACCCCATGCCTTTTAAATAAAGCACTTCAAATTTTACCTGAAATTTAAAATATTTGACCGATTTCTAAACACTCAACTTCCTCTTGATCCTGCATTGGAAATCCTCCTCCCAAGACTCTCCCTCCTGCCCCATATTTCACTAGAACCTGTTAGTACAGTCTGAGAAGCACTCAGCTACACCCATGCTGTCACTCTGAGGGAATGGAAGGTCCCGGAACTTGAGTCAGCCAGGAAATAAAATGCTCATCTTAGTATGAAAATTGAGAGCTCACTTTGGGAGTAACAATTCATGTCAAGGAACCTTACTTTTTGCTACAGGTAGTTAACCCTTGAGAACCAAAAGCATTTTACACTCTCTTTATATTTATTTATTTATTTATTTAGGTACCGGGGATTAAACTCAGGTCCTTGTGCTTGCCGGGCAGGTGGCAGAACCACTGAGCTAAATCTCTGGCCCTCTCTTTTTATTTAACAGTATCTAATTAATGATTCCAATAATCATCACTTTTTCCTGGGTCATTACTTAGTTACTCTTGGGGTTTTCCAATGATTAAAGAAAAAAGACAAGTGACGGTATCTTTAATAGAGTATTTTAAATATATATATTAATATATGTGTGTATAAAACATTATATATAATTTATAAAATATCTGCTTGAGGCAGGGAAATATAGAAAGGAAAAGCCAAATAAATGATACAAGTTTAAACTTTAAGGGAAGAAATATGAATCTGTCCAACTATTTAAATCAATCTCCTCATTCCTAGCTGACTTGGCCCAACCAGAATTCTACTTTTTAGAAGATGGGGAAAGATAATCAAGTAAACTTTATATCGTGAATATTAATATTAATTTTGGATACAAATAACTGATAAAACCTGACACAACTGATTAAATAACTTTGTTGGTAACCAAGTTAGTGGCTTGGCTCAGAATAGAAGATGTGAATTCGATGCAGTCTGGGAAAATGTGTATCTTGGTTTCGTTATCTGAAATGGATTATTTTTAAAGATCGCACACAGTTTAAAAGGTTTATAGTTTCTGATCATTTTAATTGTTCATGTAAGTTTATATATATCTTTACATTGGATTATTGCTTCATTTGGTGCTAGATTCTGACTAAGAAAAACATCTGCTCTATTGCTACCTGCTTTACAATGTAGTTTTCAGTTGCACTTATAGGTAAAGTGGTTGGACAATACACGATCCTAGGAAGGAAGCTAGGTTTGTTTTATCTAAGACTGCAGAACCAGGCATGCGGGCAGGCTGAGGGCAGCTGGGGGGCAGGGGAGGTACAGTAACCAAGAGATCACTTAGGTGACTAAAGATGAACAGGGAACGATTTTGGCAAGTTCACTTCTCTTCAACCAGCATAGCAAGGATAAGTTCTAATGTCAGAACAGGTCAGCACACAAAACTCCAGGATTAAGGAGCACAGTATCCAGTAAGGAAAAAAATCCATAGTAGGCAAGTTATGACATAATAATAACAACAGGGGTTAGAAACATTTTTCCTGTAAAAAATCAGAAACCAAGCGTATTAGGACATACAGTCTTTGTTACAGCTTCTCACTTTTGCATCTGGAGAGCAAAAGCTGCTACAGACGAGGTGTAAACAAGCAACCATAGCCACATTCCAATTAAAAACTTCATTTAAGGTCACTGAAATTTGAAATGTCATATAATTTTCACGTGTTACAAAATATTCTTATTTTGATCTTTTCAACCACTTTTTAAAAGGTAAAATCTATTCTTACTTGATGGGACATACAAAAACAGGTGGTAGGCCAGATTTGGTCCACAAGTTTTTGTTTGACAGGCCTGATAATAATAAAACACAGTCAAAAGCTTTTGAAATATGAATGAGTCTGTCAGGTGTTAATTTTAGTAAATTAAAATAGGTAAAGATTTTTATATTTTTAAATGTTATTTTATTACTTTTAATTATGTACTGAGATACAAACCAACTCATTATTTTATACTAAGCTTTAATATAAAGAATAGAAGGGGCAGCCTTAATTAGCACATGTATTGTTTGTGGGATTTATTTCATCTGTATCATTTGAACACATTTCCATTTGGTAACATAAAACTTTCTCTTACAGTAACATTTGCATTCTTCATTAACTTCATAATTATATATACATTAATGGCTTATTTATAGTGAGTTTGATAATTAATTTACATTAAGTTCAATACAAAAAATAATTTTCCAGTTATAATCATCAAAAGTATTTCAAAGATTCTTATTACTTTTTCCTGAGTTAGTATTTGTATTTATACATAAACAAATGAAGTGACCAAATAAATTTCATAGGTAGACTGCAAACCAGTCTAACGTGTACACACAAATAACATTTTTTCTTTAGTAAAACACGGGAAAACTTTGCTCGTGCTTATATTGAGCCAAATTTTGAATTTTAGTGCAAGCTAATCTTGTATTCCCTTGCCAATCTTTGTTTTGAGGAAATGTTTCCCTAGCATTTATGTGCCAATATAAAATTATGAAAAACGAGAAAAGAAAAGCTAACATTCAAAGAGATGTTGTTATTTTTAAGATCATAATGAACTACAAAATCATATTATGAATATTTCCAGGGTCAATGTAATTTTCACATCCCTATTTAATTCAATCATAGTATTTTGAAGGGTTTTAGTATATTTAATTAAAATAGTAGTTCATTCATTCATTTATTCAATAAATAATTATTGAAAATCCACATATGCCAAATATGCTTTGCAGGTGAATATATATTCACTTGAGAAATATAGATCTCCTCTGTCCTCAACCAAGTGGAAAAGATAGCTATTTATTTATTACATAATCACACAAATACCCTTGATTCATACTGTGAAGAAATAATGAAAGAAGTTATGACTTCATTGAATAGAGTGTCTATTCTGGCACTGGAAATCAAGAAACACCTTTATTTCATTTTTATTAGTATATGTTTGCAATACATAATAAATCCATTCATTTATTATAGGGAATTGGTGCATATACATACTGTTGTTGATCCTCCTTATGTTCTCTTCTCTCCTCTCCAGCATCTCTCCCCCATCCTCAGATGCCCTTCCCATCTCCACAAAGTCTCTCTGTTTCCCATTCTCTTTTATTTTACTCTTTAAATTATTTATACTTAGGGGTTCTCATATAAAAAAATCATGAGATATTTAATCTTCTATGTTTGCTTAATTCCATCTAATATTATGTTCTCAAGGAACATTCATTTTCCTACAAATAACTTAAATTTATCTCTTCTCATGACTAAGTAGGATTCCATGGTGCATACATAACACATTGTTTTTATCCATTTGTCTGCTGATGGACATAAAGACCTCCAAGAAGTACTTTTCAGGCAAAGTCTGAGGCAGCAAGTGCATAGCCATGAAGGGCAGAGCTGGAACAATCCCTACATGGAGAGTTCATAGTAATTCAG